GGGAATCCCACGGTTTAGATAGGTTTTGTGTCAGGCCCTATTCTGTGATTAGGGCCTGAACTTCAGGTTACATCTCCCCAGGTACCAATATGGTTATAGAGCCTCGTTTTTATGTATGTGGCATCAGTTAAAATCTAACGCATCAAACGTGAAAACGAGGCTCTTTTGCAAGGTGACATACTTTTTCGGAAGAATAAATCACAACTAACGCTCTTACCTCTAATACAGATTTCTCTCCATTTCGGTGCAGATTTAGACCGCTATATCCCTGGCAAGGAGGACCGCCGACAAGAAGGTCAACCTCACCCTGTTCCGGAAGCCGGCCATGTTCGGTTTCTGTCCTTCCCTTAATATTAAAAAAATTGCTATCATTTACAATATGCATTACTGTAGAGTATGTTTTCAATTATAGTGAATGCTTTGGCTATAGGCCTAATTAATACAAAATCTCATTCGACAGAATTGAATGTAAACATATACGGTTTAGGTAAATGGCATGGGATTTTCGAACCGAAATTCACATCCAAATATCTTGCGTATTAATATACATGCAGCTATTTCAATTAAAGTTGTCCCCAAGCAAAGCGGAAAAGTCGAATACGAGCGCAAAAGGCTGCTGGGAATCGCAACAAAATTAACGATTTTGTTAACGATTCCCAGCAAGCCTTTTAATAATAATAATACATAGACCGTAATATAGTTTTTCGTTTTACCTAAAAAAACCACAACAGTCTGTTGCATCCGTATAGGAATCATCTGATGATTCCTATACGGATGAAACAGACTGTTGTGGTCTTTGAGGTAAAACGAAAAACTATGTTACTCTCTATCTATTTGGTATTGAGCACTGTTTGTGTTTCGTAAACTAAGAACTTAGGCGCAGCCGAGCGTTTTAGAAATGATAAAACGCGAGTTGGAGTGTTTTGAATAGCTAGCTTAAAATATGACTACAAAAAAATGCTAATTAGGATGAACAATTATATAATCATACTAATTAGGATGAACAATTATATGAAGAATACTAACGAAGATGACTTTTATGAGATATAAAGTCATTGCACGTGACCTATTATGGCTGACATGATTTGCCACAAGGTTTATGAATTTTTAATGAGTATTTTAAATATATATAAACAGTCTTGTTTTTCGTTATATATAAAAGATTACTCAATACTACAAATAATTAGCATAGCGAATTAATTTGTTATCTTAAAATGTTTCAATTTATGATGCCATTGTAAAATAATTATATTTGTATGATGCCATTGTAAAATAATTATATTTGTAAATATCAAGATTTTCAATAGAACTGAATGTAGATGGTTTTTAGTAGATGGAATTTTCAACTAATTTTTGTATTGTATTGTATTGTATTGTATTGTATTGTATTGTATTGTATTGTATTGTATTGTATTGTATTGTATTGTATTGTATTGTATTGTATTGTATTGTATTGTATTGTATTGTATTGTATTGTATTGTATTGTATTGTATTGTGTTGTATTGTATTGTATTGTATTGTATTGTATTGTATTGTATTGTATTGTATTGTATTGTATTGTATTGTATTGTATTGTATTGTATTGTATTGTATTGTATTATACCTATCAATTGGCATAATATTTACAATTTATCGTTTAGATGCTGATTCCCGGTGTTAGCCCCCTAATACCGTTTTGACGGTCTTAGAAATTTGACATTATACTTCTTGAATTATAATTAAGATTGCTGCACTTTTCAAAAAGGCTACATATAAACTCCGGCCATTATCATTCATCACATTACTCATACATTTTTCCATGATATTTTGTCGCCTTTTACCCAATGTTTTCCAGCCTAACTTAAGTAATATTTGTTTTGATCGGACGTCATAATTATCACCTGTAATGACCCTTGCCACCCTGTTTTGAAGTTTTTGTAACTTTAATTTTCATGTTTCTGAACAATTACTCCAAACAAGGGAGCAGTAGTCAAAATGAGGTAGAATAAGTGCATTTTAGATTCAAAGTATCTAAAAAAAAGACTTGCAAAATCGTAGCATTCCTATACCCTTCGAAGTTTTCTTACAGATGCTATGTATATTCTCCTTCCAATTTAGCTTGTCATCTACAATGATTCCCAGATTTGTTGTTTTGTAAACGCGTTTTATATTATGGTTTCCAATCATAATAATTGGATCCGTTTGAACTCTATGAAATGTAATATTAGAATGATGCCATTTAGGGTCATAAACGTAATTTTCAAACACTCAGTTAACATATAGCTGATTGAAAGGTGAATGCAATTCTTAAAACTATGAGGGTGCCACGTGAGGCTAGGTATACTTCATAAGTTTGTGCATGCAAACAATATATGTTTGTTTTTAATATAAATGAACACCAAGCGGCTTACCTTCAAAAGTTGTTTCAAAAAAATATTGCAGTCACCAGTAAAAACGGTGGCATCTGGATGGTTTGCAGAGAAAGCTTCTGCAGCAATTGAATTAGTTTCAATAGCCCAGAGGGTTTCTGCAACTCCTGCTTGATGCAGACCTTCTGACAAACCTATAATTAAACATTTTGTACAGTATAGTAATTCATTAATTAGACCGCTTAACGCGGCTTACGACAGTTTACTAAAAATATGGATGCCACTACAGTAGACCGATATTAGGGGTGAGATTTCCGCTAATATAATTTTTGCATGAAAAGTTATGAAATATTTCTAGCCTAGACTGCTTTACTTACCACAGATCACATACATATGGTGTAGGGAACTCACAGTTTCAATAAGTAAGGCAAAGAAAGATAAACTAGTGGAAGAGCAGATTTTAGCAGTTTTTATGATTTTGTGTGTTGACTGCGTTAAGAATGTAGTAAATACCACATTTTGAGAAAGAAAAGAACATACCGCCACAGCCAGCGAAAATATCCATTGTTTTTAATGGGTAACTTTGCTGTCATTTTCGTCATCATTAGTTTTCTAGAAAACAATTTTAAAATACTGTAAGAGTATATACTATTTCCACTCATGTCATTCCACAAAAGACTTTTCATGTAGATCGTGTAAGTAGCATGTGTGAATATATAACAACACTATGGAACTAGAGGGCACTCGGAGACTGCATACCTCCGCCCCCATTGAATTTCGATTGTGTAAAATGCAACTATAAGACAATAGATAATGAAGGCTGAAGCTTAATGAGGTTTATCATCTCATTATTGTCTTAGTACTGCGTGCATACATTATACACGACCTAATTACGCATTCAGTGAGTTTTTTTAATTGACCGGGAAAAGCAAGATAAAATTTTGTTCATTTCTCGTTCAATTTGTAACCAAATTCAACCAAATTTTAATCAGTTCTTCCTTAGCCGATGGGAAATGCATTAAAAAAATTTCGCATGAATATGTTTGGTATTTCTTGAGTTATGGTGCTCACAGACAAACACACATACACACACATACACACACATACACACATACAAACCCAGATGATTACATAACCTCCTGGCGGAGGTAACAAATTAATTAATTCAAATGAAACAATTAAAGAACAAAAGCAATTCATTCATATTTGTAATTGGCATAGATATCTTATATACCGTACACTAGATAGTGCATCTAATTATTCTGCAATTCAAAAATTGAAGCCGTGATTGCAGACTCAGGATATTCCCATGAAATGAGAAGACTTGTATGTTTTCTATTTCTTAAACGGGGAACTTAAACATGAAGTTAAACCTATTCCAAATATATTTTCAAACTATTCAAATGATGAAAGTTATTGTTGTTTTTTAAGCGTTTATTAGCGAGTGGGAAACTCCAACATGGCCGTCATCTACTCAAATGGGGGTAACCGCTGGAATATTCTTGGCTTCAATTTTACTAAAAGAGATGCGGTATCTAGTGTATATAAGATATCTATGGTAATTGGATACAGGCGAATGGCATTTCAAAACGGAGGAATGAAATTGTAAAAAGATATAAAGTGCACACAGGATGTTGAATTTTTAAATGCAGCATCTTCACAAAGCGATCAAAATTCCTCTCAGGAAACACGGAAAACGCGTTTCCGAGGCAACAATTTGATCTCGACAGCAATGGTAAAGAAATGAAGTCCCGGAGGCAGTGGATAATAGATTGCAAATTTAGTTAATTTAGTTTAAATATACATTCAGAAACGATGTCATCTACAGTTCATCAACAAAAAAGGCCTGAATTGTAGCCGCTATAAAGGATATCAAGCCATTTACTTTGCCTAAGAAAGGCTACCAATTACAAAAACTGGAATAAAATAGCTATATTATAAATAGAGGTTTTTAGTGTCAAGACTTTGTTGGCATCTCACTCGATTGAATAATAGTTGAAGGGTTTTGTAGATGGAAATTATCGAGTGGAAATTCTATATAAATTCATTAGACCTAACCAGGAGCGGCTGCGGAAGATGCAACTGAAGGTCCCTGGCAGGATTCGAGCCTGCGGCCCTGCGATTCTGGAGCAGCTCTCTAACCAGATGAGCTACAGAGTCAAGTTGTCGAGCTCTAAGTCTCCTGTCAGGGATCGGACCTATATAGTTGCATTTTTCGCAGGTGTTCCTGGTTTCACATGCTCCAAAAAGAACTTAAATTTAAAAATGTTAATTTCTAACAGGAAACACTGGACAAAAATGACAATCAAAAACAAAATTGCATCACTGATTTCTTCGTTAATAACAACAATAATAGTTTTTCTTTTCTGAAGACTTTTCACTAACTACGATTGCATTATGTACTATTAATAATAATTAACAGTGGAGAAGCCAATCTGACAATTTGGTCATGCTATGCAAATATTTCGGTGTTCATAGACCGTGAAAACAATCAATTTCTAAAGAAACGAATAATGATAATGTTGCAAATTTGCATAGCATGATCAAATTGTCGGACTGGCTTCACCACCGAGAATAAACCTTTAAAATGATTGCGTTTAACATACCGCTTGATTTGACGTCTCAAAACCTCCCTTGGGAACGTTCTCGAATTTTAAAGTCTGTGAATTGTATACCTGAAAAGAAATATGTGTGGAATGTAATTCATATATTGGTAACCGCAACGTCTTGTTCTCTAGGACTCTGTTTGCAAATTCTGTTGTTGTAAAATATATTAAAGTCTTTCCTGATAACTGTTAGAACCGTTACTCCGATTAGGATTTGTTAGGGGAAAGGTAAATTGAAACTTTAAATTTCACAATTTTGGTCATGCAATACAGAATAAAATACATTTGAAAATATGCAGCTTGAAAATCAAAGATACAGTATGGATCAAAATCAAGAAAAATTTCATAAATGTTATATTTCGACGAAAAACCATCATTTTGTATAATGGTTATATTTCGAATTTATTTTTAAAGATTCATGATCTGAAGATCACCTGAAGCTTCGAAATAAAATAATCAATAAAATGAAAAAAAAAACCAAAACAATTATCAGTAGGAGACGGCGAAAACAGGCACAAATACTTGGAATCGGTGGATCAAAGAATATTTGACAACGTTACAGGTTTGCCAGAAGTGCAAAGGAGAAACCGTATAGTAGTCGTGTCGGAGATTTAGTTCCATGGTCAGCCTTGGGAGAGGTATTTGGCCAGTAGCTTTGGCGACCGAAATATTCCCTGGACCATGCACATAGTAAATTAAGAACGGTTGAACTTGATTAAGACAAAGGCAATGCAGAAGCTGTGGTGAAGAAGGCTTACAAATACATACATATTCTACGCGTGATAAGTCGTGGTAGTGTTTCTTCATCCGATCGCCTTGTTAATTAATTCGAGAATTAATTTTCTCTGGTGAGATCAACCCTCGAATACACTTGTCCTGTCTGGTAGACTAACCTACCACGATATCCGCCAGACAAAGTCAAACTTGTCCAAGAAATAGGTGTGCGTTATACATACCGTTGTATCTGCTATGTGTAGGAACGACATGTTGTCCATACCTTCGTAAAATAAAACGTGTCAGGGCTTTTCAAAGTTTCTGCGTGATTAAGAATTTCCGATTCGGACAAACAGAGGACTTTGCATTTCCCAACCACTGTCTGTACATCAATGATGGCTTCTAAAAGCAGAATAACCAAATCATGTCAAAACTAATCCAATATAGGAGTCCAGAAATCCTATATGAATTATCCCAATCCTTTACGAATACATATATATGGAATCTTTGTAAGGAAATTATCATCGTTAAGGCAATACGCAGTTTTAATTCCGGATCGAGCGAAAATGAAAGTGCATGGGAATTGGTAGTCGACTTTAATGCTTTCCTAACACTATAATGTGCATTACTTAAATTAGAACGTAGTTCGAACACTTATTAATTCTTTATTTTGTTAATGTAGAGTTTGAAATGTCCTCTCTCCAAGGCACAGGGGGCTCAACTACAGTACTGTCAGTAACAAGTGTAAAATAATCAAATAATAAAGTTACTTTAAAAGATTTGCATGAATTCTTCGCAAGAATATCGAGATGTGGACTCAATGGAGAAAGCTAGAGCAAAAAAATTATCTATATGAAGTACTATTGAATCCTCAACAGGTAGATAATGCGGGCGCGTATGAGGTAATAGCATAATTAATACCAGAAAAATTAATAGAAGGGTTGAAACACCATGCAGTCACGTCATCGTCCAATGTTTACCAAGAATAGCCTATCCATTCGGAGATTTCCGATCGCAGTTCGGAAATGCATTTAAAAGCTGTTTTTGATCATAAAGCAATTTCTGATTATTTACATTTTTAAAAACTTAATATTGAAACTATAGTCTATACCGGCGCCAACAAATCACCGCTATTTTAAAATCTGAATGCAAATCCTAGCATCTCACGAGTGCCGAGCTTCATCCGACTGGATAGGCTACACATATCGCGAAAATTCGTACACATATCACGAAAATTGCAAAGAAAACTTGCTGTTAAAAATAATTTAGCGAAAGGTTTATCTATGATATTTCTTTACTGCCGGGATATCTATGACATTTTTTTACTGGATATCTTTGTGTTGGATGTCTTTATGTTGCAAAATAATCAAATTATGTCGAAACGGTTAAATTAAAAGAATTTTAAAAGTCACGTGACCGGTGTTTCAACCCTCCTATTAATTTATCTATTATTAATTATGCTATACCTCATACGCGCCCACATTACCTACCTATTGAAGATTCTATAGTATTTCATCGACATTCTTGCAAAGAATTTATGCAAATCTTTTGGAGTAAGTAATATTTTGATAATTTTACTGACAGTAGTTAAGTCCCCTGTGTCCAAGGCCTTAAAATACTGGAACAACATTTATCATTGGTATGTCCCGTTATTATGTTTCGCAATAAAGCAAAACGAACGGTATTTGTGATTGGTTGAACGGCTTTAAAGAACGAGTCATAAACACTGATTACTATTCCATTATCAAGCCAATCTCAAAACACGATTATTGAAATGATTACCGCTCATTTTTTATTTCAAAATTTCCTCAAGAGTTAGTGCTAACTCTTGACGAAGGGCCTTCGCTCGAAACGACGATTTTCTGCTTGTTTTTTAAGATAGTAATATAACCACTCAGCACAGCATTTTCACATTGGTACTACCCACACTGGTACAGACAGTTTTAGAATTAAAATAGTGCAGCTTTCATGAGCATAGGTACTGACAAATCAACATAACAGTATGATCTATATAACAAAGGAAATAAGTTACCTTCATCACTAAAATATAGCAAGTTAATGTCGGATGAGTAGCGACATCTAGCGTCCAGGTGTGTATCCTCTGGTCTAACAAGGAAATGAAGGCTATTTAATTAATTAAAGGCTATTGGTGTTGCTCGCATACAATGAAAACATTATACCTGTAAAATTTTCTGATAGTAATTTCGATAACACTTTCTTCTGCTGTTTTTCTAATTGATACGAGTTGTCCTTAAAAGAATCATTATAATACAATGTGAATAAATATCTCCTTTCATGTTTCTCGACATAGATTGCCGCAGAAAGCATTTTGTTACATTAAAGGGCGGGGGAGAGGGCCTCGACCAAAGAGAACCGCGTGTTTCCTAAGTGCAATTCTTAGAAAAGCAATTTAAAATTTCAGGATTCTAAATATATAGAAAAATCCCAGCGTAGGATATCCAAAGGTCCACCCTATAACACATAGATAATAAATTAGCTCTGTTTCCGTTGATATATAAGCACGTGTAAATAATGACAAACGCATACTAATTAATGGCTTGATTGGAATTGCCTGTGTGCAAGGAAGAAACAAAGTGTTCATTTTTATTATGGTTTGCTACAGATAAATACTAGAATCTAGATTCGAATACTGATTACAGGAGCGAAGTATATGAGTTAGTGATGTTAACGACAATCTTTAGAGTTTTTCTCTGTTGGGGGCCAATTGTTCTAAAGCCGATTAACTTAATCCTTGGGTTAAAGTGAAATTGAAAGCATACTTCCCAGCAACTTTGAAATAAATCTTGTTCGGATATTCAGAAGTTTAATTTGTACAGATGCACATAAACCAAAACAATGGGTTAAATTAAACCCACGATTAGCGCTAATAGACCCATTGCACTGACGTCACAAATTCTTAGAGTGTCCTCCAGATGCTCCCTAACAATATCTGTTTGCGTACAACAACCACATACAGCGCAAAACTTAACCATTTTAATACAAAATTATTATAAAGTTTTACAAAATTTGCTTTGTTTACAAAAGTTATGTTATGCATAGATTGCTAAAATGTCCTCCAGATGCATAGTCACCGGCGCTGTGACGTCATGTGCAATGGGTCTATAGACCTTATGAATAATGATGTCACAAGGTTTGATTCACGCGCGGAATGCTGGCCTTAGCAGTCATCGCTCAGGAAAATTAAACAATTCAAAATGGCCACTATCGAAATTTCCCGGGCAATGAATACTAAGACCAGCATTCCTCGCAGGCATCAAGCATTGTGACGTCATTATCCATAAGGTCTATTGTGCTTTGAAAAACCGGCCCTGAATGCATGTCATGATGTTTACCGTAGTACTGTATTTTCGTATTGTAAAGCCAAGTTGTACAGAATTACACAGGATTATCTCCAGTTGGTCATTGAAAGTAACCCTTACGGTATATAATAACAACAGTGCATGTATTCATTACCAATATTAAACGGCCGTGGAATGCTGTGTTTCTTTCGCGCTCGGTTTTTCCTGTAGTATTCAGGATACAAGTCTTCGTCCTTTTTAATAAAACAAAAAGAAAGAATGAAAATATTTTAAAAAGTTTCCCAAAATGTAATATGGATAGTTGCCACAATGCTGTTATTTTATCATGGCGCATTCTTCGTTTGCTTCTCTTTTAGAATTAGATCGAAAAGGTGGTTGCAGCTATGTGGAAGGTGAGTTTTGATGCATTGTGACCGACTAACTAATAAAATGAAAATGGTGAGAATAATGCATGATGATGTTATAGTAAAACACAAGTGGTAATGATGCTGCATGGTGATGCACAAGTTGTAATGAAAAGATATACAGTAATAAAATGGTATTGATAATAAAATGGTGTAGTACACAAGTTATAATGAAAACATACAGATTATAATGAGACACAAATGATAATGAAATTGGGAGTAATGAATGTGTGTCTGTTGATCGATTGTGTTGGTGAGGTTTGTGAAGGCATAATCCGTGTGTCTTTATGTGTGCATGCGTATAATATTGCCTGTAATTGCCAAAGGCTGGGTAAATGCCAATATATCGCCACCCAGGCCGAGCGTACCATGCCGTTTTGTGTTCAAAACTAAGGTTATGTTCTCATTAGGTGTTCCAGACATAACTGGAAAATCACGTTTCGACCCCATTGTAGCTGGTCTCGGAACTATACGTGCTCACATATAAATACTCGTTTTAATTTCTTCCTTATGAGGTATTATACACTGGTAGTTTGCGCGAAAAAATCTCTTGATTATTTCGTCTAGCAACAGTGTGACTGTTCAGGTTGAACTTTGGTATGTGCGCTTTTGACGGCTGAAAATGATATGCGGAATTAAAAGGAAGAGTTTCTACCACTTAATTTGCTTTATATGAGGTACGTTTACCTTGGGATCCAACTTTTTCACCACAGGTTTGGATTCGGCTGGTGTGACGCTAAAAGAATATTAGAATGCATATAAAAAAAAACGCGAGATTTCATTCACCATGCATCGGCCAATATTACTCAGTTATGTAACTTCGTTGGAGTGAAATTTGTTTGGGAAAAAGAAAATCAATCGTCTGAGTATATAGTAGTGATGTTAAAGAACATTGCCTATTAAAAGTTCTTACTACAGTGCTTGTTATCGAGTAAACTTTTCAAAACACTTTTCTACGTGAGTTACTTTTTTAATGAAAGATTCCAATTCAATTGGATATACGTTTTTAGTACTCATTTGCCAATCACACTATTCTTTTTGTGTTTGGTATATTGCCCAGCTTTCTAAATTACTTGATTGTAAAAGATGGACTATACTTCATTTACTTTTTCCAGTAATATACGGACTGTTGCTCCCGTATTCAGACACTGAAATATAGCCATATAAACTGCATTTTGATAAATATACGGGTGGAAATTATGATTGCCCTTATAATTGAAATAAAATGACATAGCTCTTGCACCATATTCCAGTATTTATTTTAGCCAGGTTGTTCAACAAAGTTGGTCATATAGTGCTCTACACCTGCGACAGAATTAGTACACATTCGAAATAAACTGAAGGCAGCAGAATTAGACCCATCGAAACTTTAGTATCAAAACATTAACAACTTTCCGCAGTTTAAATATTTCATAAGACATGTGCTCGTGTTCAATACGTTATTGGTTGCGTGCATGCTATAAATATCTTGTCGAAGACTATACCATCCTAGCTCGTCCGCGCGGGCACGCCGGGCTGTAACAGAACGTTGTCATTGCAGCAATGCTCAACAGCAAACAAGCCAGTATTTTTAGCTGATTGTACAATAATTTCAAGATGTTGAGAGGCAACATATTTAAAATACACATCCTTGTTACCAGCGGCTGCTGGTTGGTCCATAGGTGAATTGTGCATGTAACATGCAAGGAAAGCTATATTTAATAAACCTACAACTTACCTAAAATTAAAGGCATCTGGTGTGAGGTACAATGTATCGCCAATTGTATATTGAACACCACGAAGGGAAAACGTTCTTTAGAAAACGAAAAAAGACAAACAATGTAAAATGATGAAAACATGGTTTTCGGGTTCGGGATTTTCTACACGTGCAGTGAGCTTTTTAGTATTTCAGATGGCGCAAGGTTAAAGGGATTAGCACATGCAGATCATTTTTATGCACGGTTCCACATTAACTAACGGCAAAAACATGACGTGGAATACACATTTACCATGTTTTTGTTGAGTTGATTTAAAATTTATTTTAGCATTCTATTAATACCACAGCAGGTCAAAGATAGTAAGTATATATACTGTATACAAACAATTTGGAGTTTTTTATGGCATTGGCGCTAGTTTTAACTTTTTTCAGAAAATACTGTGTATGGGGATTTGCATGGGATCGAGGCTTGACAAGCATGCAGAGCTTTCGCGCTTCTGCTGCAGTTTTTAAAGTAATATATGAACAACGAGAGCGAGTGTTTCACAGGGATATCCAAACACGAGAAAACAATGTATGAAAACACGAGCGCGAAAATATGGCTTCTCAAATGAATCGTGAATCGAGACGTAACAGAATGTTTTCGTTCGCAGATTTGAATAGAATTCTCAAGCACAACGTAATTAGGAATTCTATTCAAGTAATTTTGCATGCGTAATTAAGATATTTGATGAAAACACTATGACTTTCATCAAGTTACACCGGGTTATCCAAATAGCATCTTGTGGTCAAATAGGTGATTATCATTGGCTGAATTACCATGAAGTAAATATAAAAAACTGTAGTTGCTACATTTTGTGCACTTACCAATATTGACACACAGGGCCTAGCTAATTTTTTTGGAGGGGGGGGGGGTGTATATTCATATATTCGTGTTCCGCCCGACAAATTTCTTTTGAAAGCGATTGTTTTTACTGTATGTGAACATGAATATATGAATATACACACCCCAATTATCGCTTCTAGCTACGGCCCTTTTGACACGTTCTTAATTCCATGGATTCCTGGTATTTATAGAGTGCTTACTCAAAATGTGATAATTAAGGTATACTGATGCCTTATTTATTACTGACATTTGCCAGTCCGGATGGATCTTTACTCAATAGGCAGCGAAACGTACCTGAATAATTCATTGCTTGGACCTGGACCTGAATCATGTGTTAATGGCTCTCCTATCATAGGCTTGTCAAACTAAATGAAAGAAAATATCGTTTAACATTGTCGCCGGTACTACTTTCATCAATACAAACACTATGATCATTCGCAACACCTTTAATATGTCTTGCAACCAATCGAAATTAACCTTGACGTTCTTATCTAATGCTCTATACGTTTTCAATAAAATAATAAATTCGGTCACAAAGAAGTATACGTTAGCATTCCCTATCCTTAAAATCCTGATCTCGTTCGACAGGACTAATACTTGTAGATTTGTAGATGGGTCATTTGCAGATATAAGGTTTTTGTACTGTACAGATGGAGCTCGAGAGAGGTTTTTTGTTGATGGGATATTCGAACGCAAATTTATATACACCTTTTCATAAGTATATACGCTATAAAAAGTGTATACCTATAGTGTATATAAAAAAAGTGTATGTAAAACACATTGTTTAATATACACTTGTATACACTTCTGACCATGCATGCATGAGCAGTTACGAAAACTGGATTAAAGGCCCTCGAAGTTGCGGCCCTGCAATTTCGGTGCAACGCTCTAACCAACTACTGATATAAATAATCCAGTTACTCAGCATTTACCAAAAATTAATGTATAATGAAGTGAGTGAATGAAGCCATTGCGTTCGAAAATTACCATTATTGGTCTATTAATCCTAAATATACTATTAGTCATATCATACGAGATGCCCAAACATCTAGAAATTTACCCATGCATATGTGTAAAAAACTTAACGTAATTGCAAAATATTACCTCCTCTTTTCTTCTCTGTCTGAGGCAACTTATGCATTCATCCTCATTATTATCAGCCTCAAAGTACTCCACTTGCTGCTCGAAACGAGCGTGGTCGTCGTCATACCTTTACAAATAAGAAAACGTTAGCTTTTAACTACAAACACTGGCCTACAGTCAGCTTTATCATCTACAGAAAACTTTGGTTAAACGTATACAGAGACCAAACACAATGAACTGTATTCTTTCGTGGATTTCAATGTCTCTATAGATAGTTATAATGTAGATTTTTGTCAATTATACAGCCTTCGCGACAAAAAAATTCGCTAGAAGTCTGTTCTAGATCTACTCATTATGAAAGCGAAAGAAGTGGGGAGATGGGCAATCATCCGTATTTCGCAGATACAATTTTTCGCGAAAAATTTCGCTGTCGTGGAATCAGGCCTTTAAACTTTATTTGCTATTATATATAAGCTGTTGAATTTTATTTGAAAGAAATGCACGTTTCAAAATAATTTAATTCTGCGCAGCACGTGTCTCATCGCATGATTCAGAGAGTGATTCTATATAAGGCATGTTTCAAACGTGCGCTTCCCATGTTCCGAACGCATTAGAAACAATAAAAATTGGTAAAGTTGCCTGTACTGTACAGACAAGCCAATGAAATTTGTCATTTGAAAACTTTCTCGTCTGTAACTAGCTTTATATTTAGCTTAGGTTTATAACTAAAAAACATAATTCTACCGCTATTTCCTTTCATAGTTCGGTAACCAAAAATCCAAATTCCGATAGTTCTTTGAAGAAATCAGTTGAATAGTCTTTCACTATCTCTTCTGCAGCAGTTTCCAGTTGAGTGACCACAACTGCGACATTTTATGGACGAAGGAAACCAAGTACACTTATCACCAGTTTCATTAGCATCCCCACTGTAATGTTTTGCTTACCACATCTGATAATAGTATTCTCCATCATGTTCATCATCAATGTTTTCACTATTTATGCAGTCAGGAGCTTTATATTTAACCTAAATGAAAGGCACAGTGGAATACCATTACTCGTGCGTAGAAGATGGTGGAGGTCTGCAAAGCCATATCCAGAGGTTTTGCTTCCGCAGTTAGATGCTCCGCGAACAAGACTGTCTCTTCTGGCGCCGTGCTCCGCAATCGCGTATTATTGGCCAATGAATTTGAACATAATCAATGTGTACGAATAATGATAAAACGTACTATTTGAAACACGAGCAGGAGTGATTTATCAGAAGTGTTTTACATCCGTAATAATATACATAAAAATATTACTCGATTGTGATTGGTTGATTTCAGTGCAGTTAATCACAAACAGTAAAGCAAATCTGTAACAACAGTGCAAAAATCTGTAACAACAGTGCAAAAATCTGTAACAAACTGATCTGATTGGTGGAAAAACATTGTGATGATAAAATCAACCAATCAGTTTAAAGCAGTGTAGTTTAAATAAGTAACGGTCACAGATATTGCTTCACAACAAAACAAACATGGCGCCGCGCTACATAAAGTAAAAGTTGACTTCGCGTAGAAAATATGGCTTATTAAACAAGACTAACAAAATTTACACTGTTGAGTGGAATTTTCAAGCTGTTAGCGTTGTATAATGTGATATAACAAAGCCAGGAAAACTTTGCCAGTGGAATGTTCACTATAAACGTAAGTTAAACGTTAAAACTACAATTGTCTCGATCATTTTTATGTAAATTATTAATAAGTGATAGCATGGTTTCTCGTGAAATTTGGATAAACATGCACTCGTGAGTTTTTCAAAGACCTCAAATATAGCACTCGCCCTTCGGACTCGTGCTATTTTGAGGTCTTTGAAAAACTCACTTGTGCATGTTATATCCAAATTGCACTCGAAACCATGCTGTTATATCTATATTTCAAAAACTCATTAATAATTCATGAAGCAAATTATCCAATCTTGAGTAAGAAATTAGTCACGTGCATACGTCTTTATACCAGCTAAAGAACACTTTCACAAAAGACCATTGTTATACAAACTATATAAAGATTTTTATATAAAGATTTTTATATAAAGATTCGACTTATTATGCAAACGTTTTTGAAGCCATTTAAAAAACTCGCAGGTCGTGTTTTATTAGGTCTAAAGCCACTCGCGCTGCGCGCTCGTGGCTTTAAACCTAATAAAACACTCCTGCTCGTTTTTTAAATAGTACATAAAGCACGGACTGCGAGTGTTTTAAATGGTTTAAAAACGATCTTGATGCATGAGTTCATTGGTCAAGTAATTTTAAAAATAAACGTTGTCTAAGCCGAGAATATCAAAACTAAAGTTTATGTAAATGAACGTGATTTTTTATCACATACAAGACCACCGACACGGCAGTGTTTCATTTGTATTCTGCGAGTTTTTTAATTATGGAATAAGAATTTAATTATCGAAATGAAATAAGAGTTCTTGTTATAAAACCTAAAGCACAGCATAATTTTATAAACATTACATGTCTAATATTTCGTTGTAATTACAAGATAAAGTTTTCATTTTTCTAGTAAACTGTAGAGAGCCACCTTAAAGCTACATTACGAGGTAATGAGAGTTCGCAGTCACAAACCGTTACAGGGGGGAATTTCAAGTCCTCAAACTGTGTTTTAACTTAATAGAATACACGATAGTGTTGGGAAAGCAGAACATCTAACCAAGATCTTGTGACTGCCAACTCACATGCGCTCTCTCCGAGATGGCAAATATTTCCGTGTGCTTTGAATATCTAGAGATGTATTGCATGTAAACGTACCGCACATTTCCCAACGATGGAACCTAATGGGTTGTTGTCGCAAAGGTCCACCAGGAAGAGTTCCATTGGATCGCCAGTTTTGCCAATTATGGTGTCCCAACAATGGCTATATTGACAAAAGAAACAGGCAAGTCAACATTCACAACATTCATAACTTGTTTTGTTGTAGTATATAATAAAGTGCTCAACACTAGTATTATAGTAGAGCAAGATATATTTATATCTTAAAATTAATTATTGCTACTCAAGTTAAATAAGGCGTGAAACTTGAGTAGCAATAATTAATTTTAATATATATATATATATATATATATATATATATATATATCGACCAATCATATATAGCCTGCGTGCCAGTTTCTATGCTTGAAATAGAGCCTGCTACTGAAATCAATAAAAAGTGTACGGTGTTTTTGGATGGACGAAAATAACAACCGATCAAAAAGGCGATTGTTAAATAGATTATCAAAGCTAATTTAAAATATGAAAATAAAGGCCAATATTTTCGCTAATATACCGAAAATAAATGTACCAATTTTCATTAAACGGCCAGGAATTACATACTGGGTAATAATAACGTTTACTGACCACACGTATAGACAGCAAAGGCAGTAATTAATGCGGCCAAAAGTACAATTACAAGTATGGAATATCATATTACGTAAACAACAACTTGAAGACCAATGGGAACTTTGCATATATATTCGTACGCATAAATCCGCTTTTTATTAACTTCAGTAGCAGACTCTATTTCAAGCATAGAGTCTGATACCAATCACAGGAAACGTGATAAGTAAAATTGTCATTAAAACAGGAGGAGCCTGGGAACGAAGTTGTCAATGTGTCGCACTCATGTCTGTATAATTAGACTACCAGCCCTTTCGTGTTTATCCTCAAAATACAATGTTATGGTGCAATAGATCATAACCTTATCAAATAAACTTTTATCACAATCTTACCTCAACCACCGTCCATGGAAGAGCTTCTCTCCCTGATTGTTCTGCCACATTGATATCACTTTACAAATATACGTCTGCACTTCGGGGTCCGAAGGACACAATCGAACGTAATCACCAAGATTAACCTAAACACAGTATACAAGTCTTCGTTATTCTTTTGCAGTGGTGTCAAAATTACTTTGAATTTGTACTCAAGTAAAAGTAGAAGTAATTAACAATGTAACTAGTTGAGTAAGAGTAAAAAGTCCTGGAGGCAAAACGTACTTAAGTAAAAAGTACAAAGTATCCTTAATTAAAAAATACTTGAAGTACAAAGTAAAAGTACTATTACCAAAAGCGTGTATAGGGGAAGGGGACTTCTCCAATGGATTGACATACAAAAGACACAAAACAACACACACGCTATATGCGTGAGTCGTGCACCATAATATACAATATTTCACGTCATGGGCTACTTTCCAGTAGAAAGTAATGCTTATATGTAGAGGTCCTATTACCTATCCCAAAATTAAAATAAATCACGAATAACTAAGATCACGTAAAATTTAACAAATGTGAGAAAGTAACGAAATACCTCGCCACAAAATGAAAATAACGAAGTAAAACGTTACTTCTTAAAACGACTTCGTTCCTAGTAAAAGTACTCCAGAAAAAGTTTACTTTGTTACATGCTCACTTCTCAAAAATAGTACTCAAGTACAGTAACGAAGTAAATTTACTTCGTTACTTGACACCACTGTTCTTTTGGCTGCATTCATTTTATTCAAATATTTAGAGATACATTCAACGTTCACACAACCATATTAAGGTCCTGGGCAAACTAGGACTGAACATGACCTGCCAATGTTTCGCTATGTTTCCCAGAGTGGGCAAACACTAGGAAACATTGGTGAGAAACATAGGGGAAACATCAAATATTTCTGAATTTGCTAGGAAACATTTTGGAACAGGTGTAGGCAAACTGTTAGTTAAATATAACTTTAAGTTCAATCAGAGTTTTATTTTATGCAAACGGCTATTTTTTTATTTTCTCGTCTCTCAGACTGGTTTTACAGGACACATATCGCAGGTCATTTACAGAACGCTTAAGAATTGAAATAAAGATTTATCACAAACATGTATTAACCATTTCAGTAAATATTTTAACGATTTTTTATTTTTTACTTAATTTACCGAATTTTTCGAGACCGAAAAATGGCTAAATGTAGAGAGGAAAATCGTTCATTGGTCCTCCGCTTTGACGTTTAAAGCCATATTCATGCGAAAGAGCAACGTTTCTTCTTTAATTTAGTCAAAAACATTTTTGGGCTATTGAAACTACGGTTTTGGGAACGCCAAACGCAAGTGGCCTCGAAGCTAAAAATAGCCTTTCAAGTTACATTATCTAAATGCAATTAATCTATGAAACATTATAGGACATTATTTGGGGGTCTCTGTAAACAACGGCAACCGAAACGACTGAATCCGGAAACGACCGAAACTGGAAATATTCCCGCCTAATTTCCCGCATAACGAATAATTATATTGTTGATGCACGATCGCTGGCATATAATTTAAGCCCTGTTTACACTACGCTCAATTTTTGGTACGGCACGGATAAAATTTGTACCCGTACCACTTTTTGGTTCTTGGACTACCTCTTTAGGTAGTCCAAGAACCAAAAAGTGGTACGGTACCAAAAATTGAGCGTAGTGTAAAGGGGCTTAGCTAAATAGGTAGTCCAAGAACCAAAAAAGTGGTACGGGTACCAATTTTATCCGTGCCGTACCAAAAATTGAGCGAAGTGTAAACGGGGCTTTAGATAAATATCGTCCGAATGTCGTACTGTAAGTCGTAAGGTTGTATACTATTTAACTGCTGACAATTTTTCAAATTATTTAATAATCTTACTGCATATTATCAACTTCCTGAACAATGCTGGTTATGTTTAATTTAATAAAAACGATATTACATTCACTTTCTCATTTGACATACGATACGGCTTCCACTAAAATGGCACGCTCGTGATTTCGAAAATATTAAATACATGCTCATTTAGACGTATTCCAAATCCCAATTTATCTGACCGCATATTAATGGCAGAACTTTGTTCTTTCAATCATAAGTAGTACAAGTATTATTGCATTCAATGGTACTATTTTATTCCGCTTTTAATTTGTATGTGTATTGATTAACTCGTAATGTATTATCTGGAGCCTATATGCTAATGCTTCGTATTATTGTTATATTCATTTCTTTATCCTGATGATGACTGGAATATAGTCGAACCGTTGAAAAATATAAAAATGTTATCGATCTTTGGAGTTACACTTGTTTTATACATTTCTTCGTTGTACATTTCACATTCTGCGTCAGTTGGCAGTCGTTGTTTATTATCCCAGTCGACGCTAATTGGTATGAATAAAACGCATGGTTCCGTGCAGGCTCACTTTTCTCCCAAATTTTAGGCAATTTTATGCGGGAAATCAGGCGGGAATTTCCTGCTTCGGTTGTTTCCGGATTCGGTCGTTTCGGTTTCCGTTTTCTACAGAGACCCATTATTTGGGACTTCATAGCGTCTATTTTGAATACGGAATACACTAACCTTTTCGTTATTAACAAGTACACTGGTGTAGTACTTTCTGTCCTCGTCAAGTTTGAAAGGCTCGGAAGTCCACTTCAGCGTAGTCTGAAATTAATTTATTATTCACTAATTAGAAAATGTGTCATTTTCACTCAATAAACACATATGACATATCGTTATTACTAAATAAGGGTCTGAAGGGAACGAGGTTTACATCCCGTTTCGTAGCCCACTTTTTTGTCTTTTTTCTAAATTCCATTTCTCAACCCTTTTCTTATCTTGATCAACTCTTTCGCCCATAAGGTAATCGCCATCTTTCCTATATTTGAAATGTACTCGTTTTCGCGGCAATGAAACATGTGGGGCAAAGTATGTAGGTCAAAATATATATACAGGCTGTTCAGTAAAAAGTATACAATTTAATTTAAAAAATGCTCTCAATTTCAAATCCGCTCATGTCATGAAAGTTTTGATAAATATAGATTGTTCGGGTACTTAGAATATAGAATAAACAAAACAAATTGTAAAAATAAATTTTCCAGAGCAGGATGTCTTTTTAGCAGCGTTAGAAATAGCTTGCGCGCGAAATTTAAAAGGCAAAAAATTGGTTATGTGTTTTATTAATGGTCCAAATATCAGAAAATATGTTCAATTTTAAGTCCTTCAAATAGCGCCTGCACCTTTTATTTTTTTAATTTAAAAAAATTCTGTCACGCCGAAATTTTTCAAGATAAGAAAATGTGAAAATTCGTAATAATTTTCTCAAAGTCATGAAATAATTCAAAATACTAAAAGAAATCATTTTATGAGATCACCGATGTTTTTTTCGAGTTAAATTACTTTAACGGCAGTTAGGAGTAGTTTTTTTTTAAAACTCCTTAGTTAGTGTGTTAGTCAATCAGATACTCTTTGTTTTTAAACATATGATAATTCTCCAGAAATTCATAAGCAATCACAAAGTTTTTAATTTTTAAAAACGTGTACCGAGCCACCTTAATCAAGCCAAAATCAACGCGAGTCTGCTGCAAGCAATTTGTTTTGCAAAACATTTTGATTACGAATGTTCTCTGTTCAGTGGTTAATTGAGCCCTGTTTTAATGGACGTTTTTCTGTTTCACCAAGACAAAAGATTGACGAGTTGAGCCCATTTTAAATAATTTAACATTCAATTTTAATACGTTTCGTTTTCCATGCAACGTTCAACGGTGGAAGAATGTGATTTCGACAGGCAGTTTTTATTTGACGAGTATGTGGCTATTTGTCATCTCTACGATTTAATTAAAAAGACTATCATTGAAAAGCTTGAAGTATACAAATCGACTTTAAATACCTCAAACTCGACGTCATCCTCATCTTGCACAGCCATTTTAAGACATCTAAGTAAGATAAGAAAAAATGCATTACGGGGTTGGAAACACAACAAGAAGGCCGTTTATCTCGCTTGAATCGTTTTTTATTTTGGTTAGAAGCAGTGCAATTGTTCTTGAAATTGTAGTGCAATTAACAAAACAAGAGCATAGCCTGGAGACGATCAGCGCTAGCAGGGATAACGAACATTGCGGCAAATTTTGCACTTTTTGACGAGATTTATTTATGGCTTCTCGTCCAATTTGGAACTCAAAACACTTGCGAGTTTTTCAAAGATGACAAATTCCACACGTACTTCGCACTCGCGATTTTAGCACGCGCTTGTAATTAATTTATACAAAAACGGGCGATAAAATCTTCCCTTGAGTAAGTAACATTCCGTAAAAGAAAAAGGAAAACTTTTTTCTGTGTTTCTATATAGTTATAGAAATTATACTTATGGTAGAATGGTATACATATTTAGAAATTATACGTATGGTATGGTCCATTCCATTTCCGTTTCCGTTCCCCATCCCCATTACGTTCCATTCCACTTCATTGCAATCCATTACATGGCATTGCACTCCACTCTACTCCAGTCCACCCCACCGACCACTCCTCACTCCAACTCACTTTGTGACATGCCATGTCATTCCATTCCATTCTATTACGTCACGTAGCAACGTGAACGGTTCATGTGGATGGGCGGATACAGTAAAATGTAAAGCATCACAATCTATACCTTTGGTTTGATTGTTGTTTGGTTCTGTCGATATCTCCTTCCAATTGATTTTGGAAGAACTCCTGGAAAATCTCTCCAACTAATCCAGTCGTTGTTGCCTGACAAAGGTAATTGGTTTCAATCAGATTGACAAAATGTGAAGAATAGAAATTTCCACGAATTATACCTTCGTCTGGCAAACTTTCTTTCCTTTCCTTCGTTTCGTTAACTTTCCGCGAATGTTATTTCTTACAAAAAGAAAAACAAGAACATGCGTCAAAAAGCACTTACTGTACAGGTATATAAAATATCCCAACTTTTAATTTTTTTCTGTTACTTACCTGTCTCGTTTAGACGATTTATGACCTTTTTGTAATGTTGATTTGTTATTTGAAACCTTAAAATAAGAATGATATAAGAACTAAGCTATTGTTGAATGAAATAAGAACTAGACTGGACTTTTTGTTGTAGAGAAATAAATTTTTGGAATGGCAATTTCCACGAATTATACCTTCGTTTGGAAAACTTTCTTTCCTTTCTTCCGTTTCGTTAATTTTCCGCGAATGTTATTTCTTACAAAAAGAAAAACAAGAACATGCGACAACAAGCACTTACTGTACAGGTATATAAAATATCCCAACATTTAAGTCTTTTCTGTTACTTACCTGTCTCGTTTAAGCGATTTATGACCTTTTTGTAATGTTGATTTGTTATTTGAAATCTTAAAATAAGAATGATATAAGAACTAGGCTATTGTTGAATGAAATAAGAACTAGACTGGACTTTTTGTTGTAGGGAAATAAATTTTTATATCACGTGTATATGACGAACTACACAAATGAACGTATAATGTACAAATATAATCGTCCTTGCCCACCTTTCGTCTTTTACTTGATGGGAACAGATTGTCGCAACTATTTGACGAAAACCCAAAGAATTTTGTGTTATAATTTCGTATGTATTTAATTGAACTATATTATTTGTATATACTATACATATTAATACTATTTTAATATCTTGGAAAGATTGATTAATGTGAATTGTTGAAGTGAAATTAGTGATCTTCTAAATCGTTTCTGGTTTTGGAACACAAAAACGGCAGTGCATAAAAATAGTATGGATCTTAGTTGGAAATAGTATGGAATCCAATAGACCTTATGCATAATGACGTCACAAGGCTTGATACCAGCGAGGAATGCTGGTCTTAATAGTTATTGCCCATGTCATCGCCCGGGAAAATTTCGATAGTGGCCATTTTGAATTGTTTAATTTTCCCAGGCGATGACTACTAAGACCAGCATTCCTCGCGAGCATCAAGCCTTGTGACGTCATTATGCATAAGGTCTATTTTCATACTAATTGCAATTTCCATACTATAGACAAACATGAAAATAGTATGGATATATTATGGATTTGGTGGTGCAATTGCAAATTCCATAGTATGAATTTCACTAACGTTTTTCAGTGATAAATGTCGCAAATTAATTAAGCTTAATCTCACCTTTCGAACTTTCTTTTTAGCTTGTTCAAGAACGCTTTTCCAACTGGCTCCGCATGTGGTTTGATGGCACAATCGTTTAAGCCTAAATGCAATACCGAACTATCATCAAATTGAATGCAGATATATACAGCTGTGCAGTGCATGGGTAAAATGAGTTATGGGATTATTGGTGGAGTCGTGGAGAAATTCTATCTTCCATTGCGCAATAGATTTGCAAACCTTTGGTAATTGACAGCTTAGGTAAAATAATCACGGGAACTATAAATTCCATGCACTCTTTTAAAACTACCAGCTTCCATTTCTATGTTTTCAGTCGTGGAATTTTATGGACAAATAAATAGGTTTATAAAAAAACAATAGCATCAATTCATAGCTCTGAAAATTTTGAGGTTGTAATAACTTTTATATACAATTTCGAAGCAAATTTATCAACAAAAGTACAAAACCTGTATTTCAAGTCCTCCGACCTATTTAGTGAGCATAATTATCGCTGAGCCAATAGTCATATTCGCGAGGTTTTTCGCCGTGAAAAATAGTCTGCAAGCCAACGTTTGCCGCTGACTTACAAAACATTAACCGTTAAACCAGCATATTAGAAATTGTTATATAGCTAGCGTGAACACCAAACGTGATTGGCTGATTTGTGGTCAGGTGACTTCAGATAAATGCAATGTTTCCCGCCGGGCAACAGGTGAAAAATTGTTGCCCGCCCCGACCGGCCACGTAGATAAATAAACAAAATTTTCCAAGTTTGTGTTCAAATAAAGAATATAAAAGAGAAGAAAAATATACAACAGGCAACAGGATATGCTGCTGAAACCGTTTAAGTAGGTTCAGTGTTAGCCAGTAACGAAGTAAATTTACTTCGTTACTTTACTTAAGTAAAAAAAATCAGTATTTACTTGTAACGAAGTATTTTTTAATGAAGTACTTTTTGCTTGTAACGAAGTACGATTTTTGGTAAATATTTACTTTTTTACTTCGTTACTTTTGTTATATTTTGGCGAAGTAAAAAAGTATTTCTCAAAGCGGTGAGTGGACTGGAATATATATATATGAAGGTATTTAAAGAATAAAGTTGTTTTACCACGTTACTTACACGTCTGAGTGTTCTATTCCTGCTTAAACCTTTGCGAATTTATATTCTATTTCAGTAGTACTTTTATTTAAGTATATTTTCCCAATACTTTTCTTTTACTTAAGTAAAATTTTCAGGCAGTACTTTTACTTTTACTTAAGTAAAATTTTCAGGCAATATTTTTACTTTTACTTAAGTAAAATTTTCAAGCAGTACTTTTACTTCTACTTAAGTAAAAATTGAGGTGTTACTTTTCACTTTTACTTAAGTAAATATTTTGAGTACTTTGCTGAACACTGAGTAGGTTCTTTTAATTTTAAACTCGTTTACACTATAGAGTTTTTGTCACGAAATACAATTGTTGTATGAATGTTGTTGAAGTTGATTTTTGTTCGTCGCTATATAACAAAACACTTAATGCCTGTTCCCTCGGGAAATAGTTAGTTTTGTTTTCCCTCGAATCTTAATGTTTCCCTCGACTTCGTCTTGGGAAACATTGAGATTCTCGGGAAAACAAAACTAACTATTTCCATCGGGAGCAGACATTAAGTGTATATTATTCTATATGTAACCACCCGTATAGAATACATTGGCCAACTAAATTCGTGTTTGCAGCAATCCAATTTAATTAAGAATCGAATTTAATTTTGTTAACGTTCTACGCTTCCAGGGACGTGCTGGGGTCTTAAAAAAGACAACGAATGAGCAACGTCTGATGGGCCCATGCTCATTGAACGGTGGCTAGCTCAATATTTATATTTTTGTCCAAAAATTGTTGGGTACATCGTAGGGTACATCGTAACTTTTCGGTCCAACATACGAAAATTCTTGCGTAATATTTTCGTGAATTTTGATTTTTACAATAGAAACTGTAATATCTTAATCTTGATTTTGAAAATAAAAATCTCAATGTTTGAAAAATCTCAATGTTTATTTTAGGAGCCATGATGGCAAGGGCCCATAACGAGTTTTCGTTGTCTCGTCCCTAGCCAGCACGTCCCTGTACGCTTTATATAGTTGGGGTTGCCTACTTGCCTTCTTATAGCAATCAAAACTTGGTGGCAAAAACGGCGCCAAATTAGCTTTAATCACGGCCAGTTTTCCCGCCATTTTTTGGGTACTACTTCTCCCATGTTTGAAGGAAGTTTTGGTATTATATTGTTTATATAATGGTAAATTTACAGTTACAACTTTTAAAAGTTGCTTTTCACGTTGTTTGACTAATTGTAAAAATCTTTTACGAGGGCGGATAGACCCCCAAAAATGGCAGATTTTGGCTTTCGCGAAAAAGCTAGTTGTAGCCATGGCTATAAGATATTTGCGACAATTTTCACTAAAATTTTGTGAAAAAGTATACTTGTATACCGAATATATGATATTTGGCAAACCTTTGCTGATTTGTAGCTTAGGTAAGAAGATTTGTGGAAGTTGAAGCTTAGATGCCAGAACTTTTGGGAAAGCTTCTGTCGTTTCTGTAATTTGGGATGAGAACGTCTGCAGTTGAACACGATCTATTAAAAAAGCATCTATTAATATATTACTGAAACTAAAATTAAATAAGAGATAAATTCTATTTGTTAACCTTTCGATGCAAATGTGATATTGCACATACTGTTAACTGCCATTACTGCAACTACCAGAAAATGTACCATCATATATACAGTATATCGCAGAAAGCCGGCAAAAAGAAGTTTCTATAAATTCCATTTTGACAAACGTCAACCTGGTTGCCAATTTCTAACATATATAGGCGCGCATTCTCTAGGACTTAAAATTGAAATAATAGAATTTTCAGGAAAGCCTTCATTTTTGTGCTTCATGCGGTCAAATTTCAAATTGCAGCTGCAACAATATAGTTTAATTAAGCATTCAGAACTAATAAAAAGACATAATCACTGGGACCCACGTGTGTTTTGGCGCGCTTTGTTGTGTTTATACATGCTGTTCGCATTGTTGATTTTAAAACTTATCTCTTTTAAATATTTCACATTTATTCACGCAAGTTTACAAGCTTTGAAACTGATTCCACTCTACAATTTTGGTGAAGAAGTATTAACTATGATATGATACATATGGATATATGACAACTTTGAAAACCTTTGTTAAAATGCTCCAGCATAGGTAAAACAACTTTCAGTTCTGGAAACACATTTGAGGAAGCCTCTATTTCTTCAGCGTCTCTATTGCTCGTGTCTCCAGCGGTGGGATTTTGTGGTTGAATTCGATCTATTTTAGAAAATACAAGTGCATCAATTAATAATGCTGAAACTGAAAAATGGTGAACGAGGGACACCTTCAAGACTGATGGCGATAATTTACCTTATCCGGACCGATGCCGCTGCATGGTAAATATAACGTTTTTTATTTTTAGCAGATGTAAAATGAATTCATTAAAATTCCAGTGCTGCATGCGAACTAATTTAAGATCAGTGTGTAATTAAAGCGAGGTTGACAAAACGTGAAAATTTGAAAAATAAATACGAATGCGAAACTCTAGGAAACTAGTTTTACAGTAGCAATAGATATAGATAAGCTTACAAACCTCTGTTAACTTCCAGCATTGCACAGTTATGCACACTGGGACAGTTTATGCTTTTTACATTTTCCATATTTAAGAATAATCTCTTTCAAATACACACTTCACGATCTAGGCATGTTTTGAAACTTTCCGCTCCACAACCTTGGTGAAGAAGTATTAAATTTTACCCCTGCGTATATATATAATACGTTTACAAACCTTTGTTAATTTTCAGCATTTGTAAAACTATTTCTGGAACTTGAAGATTAGATAACATATTTGATGAAACCTCTGTTTCTTTGAATCCAGAAGGGAACTTTCGGGGTTCAATACGATCTATTTAAAAATACAGCAGCAAAAAAAAGTTGAAAGATGAACACGAATGCGAAAACTCGAGGAAATTCAGTAAAACGCATGTGTATGCTCTTTTAAAGAATATGATATAGCACAACGTTTTGGCGTTGACAAATTCACTGTTGCTTCAACTACGACAGGTTCGTGTTTACTTGCTTTGCTGCTCAAAAAGAGATAAAAACCGATCTGCTTTGACTTAATTAATAAACGCTACACCTATACCCAAGGTATATGCAGTTTAAAATGTTGTATTTTTGTCGTTTCACAATAATATGTATACTCTATACTGTAGTTGATAAATTGACTTTGTTGTTACAATATTTATGAAAAGACAAGACTGCTAAATCTTTTTTATGATTGCCAAACCTAGACTGATAATTTCTATAGCGCAGCCACGCAATTGACGATTTGCGTAATAGACTAAATTTTGATCTCAACAAGTTTAGACAAAAATTTCATCACAGCGTGAAAGAGCATCACAAACTAGTAATTATCCGAGGTTTCGTTGCGAAATGTTGTAAAATGCGGATAATATAGCCTTGCGAAGTTTGCAATTTTCAGTCATTTTAGTTTACAAGCGGGAAATTGACAGCCCCACAAGGTATTGGGCTGTCAATTTCACGTTTGTAATCTAAAATGACTGAAAATTGCAAACTTCGCAAGGCTATATTATCCGCATTTTACAACATTTCGCAACGAAACTTCGAAATATTACTAATTTTGTGATGCTCTTTCAAGCTGTTATGAAATTTTTGTCTAGATCAAAATTTAGTCTATTACGCAGTGGTCAATTGTGGAACTTGTAATTTTGAAAATATTTTCGGAAAAGCCTTTTGCTTCATGCGGTAAACTTTTCAAACGGCAGCTACAACAATAGTTTGTTAGGATTGATAACTAATACTTCATGTAACAGACAGACAAACTTGCCAACCTATGTACAGTAGTTGCTAATTTCGGTGAGCTTTTCAAATTGTAACTATGTGCCAATAGTTTGACTTGAGAACTAATAATTGTTATAGAGAGTCATGCGCACCAGGACGGCCGTGTTTATGCTGTTCACAATTCAGTTTGTTTATTGAAAAAATAGTCTCTTTCAATTAGTTTCAAATAAATACGTTGTGCGTAAGGGTTGAGAACGAATAGAGGCCTCAATGAGACTTGTGTGTTTTAGAATAATCTCTTATAAATAAATGCTTCACGATCTATGCGTGTGAGTTTAGAAGTTCTGAAATTATTTTACAATTTCGGTGAAAAAGTACTTCTTTCACTGGATATGACAACTTTGCAAACCTTTGTTACTTTCCAGCATTGGTAAAACTATTTCTGGAACTTGAAGTTTAGATAACATATTTGACGAAGCCTCTATTTCTGTGCTTTTAGCAGTGAACTCTTGTGGTTGAATACGTTCTATTTAAAATACAGCAACATTGATTATTAACGCTGAAACTGAAATTGAATAACGGATATATTTGATGACAGTTCAAAGCAGTATATATGCTGTTGACCTCCTGTGAGGTCCCGATGAAGAAAGGCACGGTGCCTGGAGTCTTAAAAATGGCCCAAACCCGTAAGGCGTAGGGCGACGGACGGTTTCACGATTAAGGGAACAGATTTTCCTCATCTGGACGGATGCTGCCGGTGTCAAGCGAAATTCCGGACCTCTGCGAAATACCTGACCAAGCGTGACGGGTCAGAAATTTCGCGCGTGCAGGCGCGAAATATATGACGCTTGCTAAATTTAAATCGGCCAAAACTTTTTTTTAGAGTTTAGATAAAATAATCATGATGTTAATTTCTAATACTTCGTTAAATATTTCAAATCGACAGCGCTAATTTACAAACACTTTAAATTTCAAAGCGGATTGTGTGGTCGTGACCGCGAAATACACGACGTTTGCTGAATACGGTCGGTCGAAACGATTTTTAAGTCCATATACGATGTTACCATAGTATCGTTACGTGTTTCTAATATAGACATCGCCAAATCTAACGGCCAACTCACGAACTCATTGTTCAGTGCTGGTTACTAATTATATAGTAATGATTATAGTAATGCTTATAGCATCACCTTTGAAAATGGAGTCTATTTTTTTTTAATTTAATTTATTAAACTTTGCCAAAAACACTTAACAGAACAGCAAATAGACATCTACACAATAAACATGGACAAAAATGGCAGGGACACCACAACAGTGTAAACCAATTACTGTGGGCCCTAATTTTATATCACTAAGAGCGCTTTTCGATTGACTTTTTCCATTCGCAGATTTTAGATTCAAGCTTTATTATCGCTGAACGCCAACGTTCACAATCAGTGGTATAGTGTCAATTCAGTTGATCAATTGTAGAATTTGAAAACTTATGTGTAAATATTATCCAACAAAATGACTTTATAGATACACGTGTTGTCTGTTGAGTTGCGAAATTTATGAACCAAAGTTTATGAGCCATTCATGCGCATTGTCTGTTCATGTGCAGTTCTACAATCGTCAGATATTTCGCAAGTCAGGAATTTCGCGTTACACCTGTAAACGTGTTCATTTTTTAGCAGATTAATTAAATAACTAAATTCGTCAGTGGTATAGACTGCCAGTAAATGGGTTAACAAATCTGCCAATGTCCCTTGTTAATCCATCAGCACAGTAATGACCCCTACTTTAGTATTTACCCTGTCCAACGCCAGACGATTTTTAATACTCAGTAAGTGGTAGGGTACTGTCAATAAATGGGTTAACAAGGATAACAATAATAGGATGTTTCTGAAGGACTCGTTCACTTGACCCTGTAGTTTGTCTTTTGCTGTCAAAGGCAGCATTGCTGCCCTGTGGGTAACCTAGTTAATAACTAGATTCGTGATAGTTTGAGATCAGTGTGCAATTAAAGCAATGCTGACAAAACGTGAAAAGTTAAAATTTAAACAGGAAAGCGAAAGCTCAGAAAAATGGTAAGAAATACAAACAGAACCATATATAGTTTCATCAAAATTCATGCCGGTACATCCTCTTTTGGTAACAGAGAAACATATAGGGCTACATATTTTCAGCCAGATCTTTTGACGTTGACACATTTAGGGTTGCTTCAACAAAAACAGATTCGTGTTCAGAAGAAGAGGAAGAAGAAGAATTTTTTCACCCATTACAAATCATTACATAATTTCTTTAATTAGTAGGTGTGCATAGGAGCTAACTGAATTACACTGATAACGTCCATAGACAACATATATATATAATGGAGATTTGCGATATTTAATCAGCCGGCGAAAATATCAATACTACTAATTTTAGCACTGGATACGGCAAGCTTGCAAACCTTTGTTACCATTCAGCATAGTTATAGCAATTTCTGGAACTAGAAGACCAGATAACACACTCGTTGAAGCCTCCACTTCTGTGCTTCCAGCGGCCATCTTTTGTGCTTGAATAAGATCTATTCAAAAAACGTATCGGCATCAATTACAATAATATCGATGAAACTGAAATTGAATGAGAGATAAATTCTGTTTGGTAACGTGTACATTCCGAAGAAAATATATTTTATTTATAGGCTGAGAGGTCCGTACTGAAACATATTTTCCCGAGGTCTCTGAAACGAAGGTCGAGGGACGCTACTGAGACCGAAGACAAATATTTTTCAAGTACGAGCAGACCTTAACGTAAGTATAACGTTTATTATTTTGCTCGATGCTTAATTAAATTCCTAAAAAACTCCAGCGTTGCGAACTAGATTTGAGATCAGCTGTGTTTGTTACTTTAGTCAAGTATGGCCCATGACATATTGCTAGAAACAACACCATAAAAAACTTTAGTTTTGATGCAATATATAAGTAATCGAATAATAAATCCCAATAAATTCTTGATGCTTTTCGACTCAACAACATAACTGGTCAAAACTATTTATTTTATGATAGTTTTATATGATAGGATAATAACATGCTTAGAAGATGTTCTTCTTTCGACACGCTGCAGCGAATTGAACTTGCTGAAAACATTGTGTTCATGACTACGTTCATGGCACTGAAACAAGTCTATAATTGATCGATGTTTATATGTACTGCTGTTTAAAGCGTTTTAATATTTTTCTATATGCTTGAGGATAAATTCTTCTTTCGACACTCCAGTCTAGTGTCTTCATCAGGGGTGATCTAAAGTTGCAATGTGGCTTCTCAAATACTCAAGCGATGGCGTTATCTGCCAATAAGACGCATGTTTTCTTCTAACAGGCACCGTCATTCCTATTCAAAGCATGATTACTCATATTTATATGCCACGCTTCTAGGCGTTGTCTTTGGCCATAGCGTTTGCTTGTGGTAATTACTTTAAAATTTTCCCACGCAATCTTGTGTTTGGTGTCACACACATGTTCTGCTAAAGCTGATTTCCTCTTGATTGTTTAAAGTTGAAACAGCCTTTTGATTTTCTTTTAGCTGTGTACCAAACTAGACTGTTTGACGGCGTTTAGCCTGACCCAAATACTCTTTCTCGTATAGTCAACGCAAGGTATATATAGAATATACAACATGAGTTTTCTGATTCAGTTGTTTTAACAGGATCTTTCGGCTTTGCGAAAATATGGCCTAAAGTCAAATAAGGTTTTATGGCAACCTCAATATTACAATTACTTAAGATTCTCTTGATTCTGAGACTCCTCGAATGTATAGTATTTACCACAAAAAATCGCTATGGCCAAAAACGACGCCCGGAAGCGTTGCATATAAATATGAATAATCATGCTTTGAATAGGGATGACGGAGCCTGTTTGCCAGAGGAATTACATGCATCTTATTGGCAGTTGACGTCATCCCTGCATGGGTATTTAAGCTACAGTACATTGCAACTTTAGATCATCCCTCATGAAGACACTATAGACTGGAGTGTAGAATCATTGGGTCTTGATTACAATTCGACAGCGGGCCTTGTATTCATTTACGTAAACCAGAGTAGCGAGAAAAAACATGATTGATATACCTGGTTGCCAACGAACAAACTTTAAATATATGCCTAATTTTTGAAACTAAACATTTGGCACTGAATTTTCGGTACGTGTATGGCAAAAATACGTTTTTTCCGCGTTTAGATTGGAAAAAGTGCATTTTGGGATTGGTATTAAATCCATTGAAGTCATGATCAATTTAACTTTAGTGTCAATAAGGATAGATATAAGTTAGGAAGGATTCAACTTTTTGGATAGTGTTTTGAATTTGAAGTTGTTTTCACTCCACGGGCCGGAAAAAATATACAATTGTTGGACGACGTTGAACAAATTGATTTGTCAGTGGCGAGCAATCTGCAAATCTGTACAATAACAATATTCGAAAATTTAATTGTTGTAGATTACTAACGCTAAAACGTCTTCTGAAAGCTCAGCAAAGCGAGCCATATTTACTTCTGTGTTTATTGGAATTGCTTTTCACAAATCTTAAATGCGCATGCGTAAATAGATACTTTATTCCAAACGTGTGCATGCTTAGACCATATTGGCACCAGTTATTTGTAGGAAAATTAGCCAATCAACGTTGAGAAGAAAACGAATAAGTAAATGATAATATACGTTATTGATGTCCGAGATCTTGGAAACGGCTCGAGTTCGCATGTAAAATTGGCGTTTCATATATATGTCAAAGAACTGTCGCATTAGCCATTCCAAAGTTGATGGAAAGACTGGGGACGAGTGTTAAAAAGTTAATAATGAACCAAATCACTAAAAAACCACCTCAAGATTAGTAAGCATACAAAGTTTGAAGACGTTTACATGAATATCCTTCGAATAATAAGCTTTCGAAAATCGCGATATTTACTATGAAGCCCTATGAAATGTACTGTAATTTTTTAATCAGTAATTTCGCAATTTTCGAAAGCTTATTATTCGAAGGGTATTCACGTAAACGTTTTCAAACTTTGTATGCTTACTAATTTTGAGATGGCCTTTTTAGTGATTTGGTTCATTTCTTAATTTGGGCACTTTTTAACACTCGTCCTCAATCCACTCATCAACTTCGGAATGACTAATTGACGTGCACTGAATTTTTGAGTTGTTTCATTTCACTGTTTCAGTGGCGTGAAAACTAAAGCGGGCCGGTTGCGCTTCATAGCGGGTCGATATAAACTGGCCGAACACTGACATCTTACATAACGCATACTGAACTACAGCTATTTCAATTAAGGTTGTGCACGGACAAAGCGGAAATGTCGAATACGAGCGCGAAATTCTGCTGGGAACCGCTTTGAAAATTCATTAATATTAATGAATTTTCAAAGGGGTTCCAAGCAGCCTTTCGCGCTCGTATTCGACATTTTCGCTTTGCTCGTGGACAACCTTAATTGATTTAGCTGTATATAGCAAAAAGAAGTTTTCAAATTCGATTCCGACAAGTTTACAACCTTGTCAAGTTGTCAACCTAGTTGTCAGGCGCGCGGTTTTTGGAACTTGACGGGAAAGCCCATTTCCGTGTTTAGTGTGGCGAACTGTTCAAATTGCAGCTACAGTAATAGTTTGCAATAGTTTTTTAAGGTATGATATTAAACGGAGTGACGTCCTAAAGTTGATAAAAATATATTAAACGCAATGACGTCATGCTGTGGAAAAGAAACCTTACAATTTTAGGACGGCAACGCAACGGCAACGGCTACCAATACAATAGATCATTAAAAAGAATTGAATAATTACAATATATGAATAATTTAGACATTGTCTTCGCTTTGTTTACAACGCCAAATCACAGATTTTCACGTCTTGATATGACGGCTGCATTTCGGGCCGCAACAAGTGCAACTTCAAACTGAGTTCAGCAGAACTCTTCCCAACCATAAAACTCATGTCTTCAACTTCTAAAACTGTATTAAATTCATACGATTAATAATATACGACAAACTATCTTTACTACCATTTATTTGAAGGGGTTTGTTTTGGCCGTTGTCGTCGCGTTGCCGTCCTAAAATCGTAAGGTCTCTAATATGAAATGGGGGAAGACTATACTAAAACAATATGGCGCCTCTTCCGGCACAGATATAGATGAAGCAAATTATAAAACATAAAGCAGCAGTATCAACAACAAGAGCCACGAAGTGTCTTTCAACATGCTTATGAAAGAAAAACGGAAAGAAAAAGAAAATAGAAAGAGAACGGCTTCGGTTGGTAACACAAACTTAAGACTTGGTGATTCTTCGTATTATCAATGTCATTCAATAATTGTTAAATATCATTAACTGGTGACCAAGTGGTATGGGATAGTACACAAAATAGACGAAATCGGACAAAATATAACATCCCTAAAACTGAAAAAACCCTCTTTTCTACGCCTAGGACTGCATTTCAGGCGTTTTCCGAAACAGATTTTTGGATTATAGTATTACAGTATACTGTAGATAGAGTGAATCTTGCATGCATTGTATGTTTATGTAAATACCAAAATTTGCTCACTAACTTGCTTGGCCCAGCCTTCCAAATCGAACAACTCAAGTCTACAGGGTCTGAGACATACTATCCACTGGAACTGGAAGGTTTCTGCATGCATGTATTCTTATTTCTCATTGCCTGGAATTCCATAGATTCTCGGTAAAAAATTCCTCAGGTTTAGTAAAATTTCCTTAAACGTGGGCAGGCATGGTTTTTGGTAATTCGTGGCCTGAATGATTCAGAATTACAAATTTAGGTTCCCAGAATTTTTGTTTCATTTTGGAATTGGGATTTTGAGCAGCATCGTCAGAAAGGATTTACACATTGTTGGTCAAGGAATATCTTCCTTCGAAAATTTTTTGCAGCCTGAATGCATAAAACTGCATTTCCTGCGTTTTTACTGTCGTTCCAATTGAAGTGTTGCTCACATATTGATTCAATACATTACCTCGGGCTGACCAATTCATTTGATCAAGTTCCTCGAGATATTCATACACTTCCTTGTATAATTATAAACTTCCTGTTGAATAGTTTGAATGCACCAATTACCTTTGCTGTTTGTGAAACCATGGATAATAAAATAAAATAAAAGAAATGGATAGGAAACTAGCTGACGTGACCTAATGTTTTCAATGGACTGATGGCGTGATTGGATGTTGAAATCTAGTTGCAAACCAAATTCTCAAAAACGGCATGTTTAGCAATAATACATCTAAACATTTTAGTCAAAAAGTAAATAAATATAACTACGCCATTCTACGATGAAATCTCTCAGTATTCGCAGTCAATTTTAGCAAATATTACAAGCACTAAACAACGAAAAATGCATCCCAAATTTCGTTTAAATTGGGGACGCCAATTTCGTAGCTACAAATGTAAAAAAATACAAAACAAAGACAAAAAACATTTACCTTGAATACTTTGTCGTGGCTTAGGCATGTTTTTAAAACAATTACACCAGTTTTGATTCAATATTGCTCTTTTAAAGCGGAAAGTATAGCGAAACAACAAGAA